CTATTTTGCAGACGCCCTTAAAGTTCCCATAATAATGCCCTCTGAAACCGATCCTCAGTAACAAAAACACCTTACAGAGTTCATTGTTTGTTTTGGGGTTGGGAAGGGAAGGGGGAGGGGCAGGGGGAGGGGTTTGTTTGGAATATAGTAAATGTACCCAAGTGAGGGCTATACTTTTTCCAAAACTCAACATGTTAGATAAATTATTAGTAACAAGTGGACCCGCCGCAGCTACGCTGCGGCCATGGAGGGGGAGCGAAGGCGGAGGCAGGAGTGAGAAATGTTTGGGTACAAACGGGGAAAAAAAAAACAAAAAAAAAACACGATAGTGGCGAGAGAGAGAAACATCTGAGAGTGTAGCATGTGCGTCACATGAGTTTCGCACTGGCACGACACATCATACCCGTGCTGCTCCGACGAGACACGTCGGCACACTGTGAGCAGGATGCAAAACGCAGGGGGCGATTTTTCAACGCGGCGGGGTAAAACCATTCGTGTGTCCATTTGTGGTGAGGGTAAACACAAGGCCGTTCTAGCCGCAGGCAGCCAACTATGCGAAGGTGGCGAAACGAAGCGAAGGGGGTGGGGGCTGCCTCTTCCTCTGAGGTGCAATCATACAGGCGTAACCATTCCAAATGCGCAAACCATTCACATCGCAGATCCCAGCAGGCCATTAAAACAACATATGCATGCATCTATGGGGTACTTCCATCAACAAAATGCAGTGAGATCGTAATCATGGACAAAAAATGATAGCAATTAACATGAAAAGACCAAGAGAGAAAGACGGACAAAGGGAGAAAAAAAAAGAAAAAATGGGTGGAGAAAAAGAAAAAGAGGGGAAAGGAAGAGACAGAGAGAGGGAAAGAGAAAAAAAGGGGAAGAAAGAAAAAAAGAAAAGAAAAGAAAAGAAAGGACAGGAAAAGAAAAGAAAAGAAAAGAAAAGAAAAGAAAGAAAAGAAAAGAGAAGAGAAAGAAGAGAAAGAAGAGAAAGAAGAGAAAGAGAAAGAAAAAGAAAAAGAAAAGGAAAAGAAAAGGAGAAAGAGAAAGAGAGAGAGAAAGAGAGAGGAGTCAGACAGAGAGGGAAGGAGAGAGAAAGAGAGAGAGAGAGAGGGAGAGGGGAAGGGAGAGTGAGAAAAGGGGAAGGTAGAGACGGGTATCCTGTTCAAGCGTAGAGGGGAGGAGGGGCCAGATTGCATCATCGAGATCACACAGATTACTATCTCAACACAGTTGAGTAAGATGAATATCCCTCAATAAAAGCAATTGATGATGTCGTACACCTGACCTTTTCCCGTCAACCGTCCAAGTGGTTCCACACAGGGTGAGAAGGGAGAACAGAGGGGATAGGAGGGTCGGGAGCAGGAAGGGGAAGAGGGCAGGGGGGAGGGGGGAACAAAAGATGATCCTGCTTCAGCTCTGTCCTCCAGATCTTAGTGCGCTCCTGTATCCGTGCAGATCATCTCGCCGAATTGCGGGAAGGGTGTGGCAGATCCCTGAAGCGCTTTTCTGCCCCAAGCCACGTGGGGCGTCGTCAGAGGGAGGGACATCTTCCATGATCTTTGGAAGGCAAGGGGGTTGAAGGGCTATGAGCGGGGGTGTTGCGAAACAAGGGTGATGGATGGTTTTGGGGACAAGGGGCGAGGCTTGATGAGGGGGAAAGGGGGGAAGAGGGTTCGTGGGGCAAGGGACAGGGAAGGGAGTAGATGAAGTAGAGAAAGGAGAGGAAGAAGAGGAAGGAAAAGAACGCCAAAAAGGCGCATGACGAGGTCTCCACCGCCGATCTACGCTCCATCGTCCCCCCTCTTCCTCCTTGCTACTTCTCCCGACTAATTTGTGAGTCCCCTCGTAGCGCCAAGCTCAAAGAAAAGGCAGCAGCAGCACGATGGTACTTTCGATCAGCAGCACAAAGTGTTTAGCGGAAACACGAAGAAAAACTTCCTCGGAAAGGCATGCAACAAACAACGCGCTAGCTATGGCAAGATTCGGAAGCAGAGCTAGGAGAAGGAGAAGCATGAAAGCAGTGTTTCGTGCGGAGGGGCACAGGTGAGGTGCAGCAGGTTCAGCAGGGCAAGTGGACGCGGTCTGCATTACGCTCGGCCAGGGCGTACCTAGGCGCAGGGTCATGAAGGCAAAACTGAGAGGGTGCCACTTGTCGGGGACGTTACCACTTCCTCCACCTCCTGTTGCTCTTCCTCCTGGTCCCAATCAGCGAAGACGTCCATACCGCCCGTCGGCCCACTCAGCCTGCTGAGCGCAAAACCGGAACGCACCGTGCTCTACTTGTTGTCGGAATCAATTACCGTATGGTGGTCCGATGAATAGAACCCCCTGCGTTCTGTTTTGATATAGTCGTGGAGCCTAGTCAGGAATAGCAATCTTATGATGGAAGCTACCGCTCCTATCCACTCGTTTAATGCAGCAATCCCGCAGCCGTAAAACAGGACAACTGTAAAAAGAAAACAGGAAAAGGAAAAAAGGCGAAAGAGATGAAACGAGACAAAAAAAAAGGGGGGGGGGGATTGAAAACGGAATCCAAGACTAATGTACCACAGACCTATTCGAGGTCCCATGCATCCCACACCCGTGTACTAAACCGGCCTCTAATCTTTCGTCGTAATTTGAGAGCGAGTCGCTCCCATAGTCCGCATTTGGCTGTTTATATCGCTCGAGGGGGGTCTTTATTTGAGGCCCATAGCGCATGCAGGCAGAAAAGTGTCCCGAGTTGCCTTTTATTATTGTGACCTAAAAAATGAAACAACGGAGAAGACGAAAAAAGAAAAAAGAAAGAAGAAAAGGAAAACAAAAGAAAAAAAGAAGAACGAGAAGAAAATAGAAAAAAAGAAGAAAACAGAAGAAGAAAAAGGAAAAAGATAAAAGAAGAAAAAAGGAAAAAGGAAAAACGAAACAAGAAAAAGGTCAGCAGACCCAATCACAACGCCACTTACGGTTACATTGGTGAGAAGAGAAGAGAGAGAGAGAGAGTGAGAGAGAGAGAGTGAGAGAGAGAGAG